AGGTTTATGGATCCCCTCCCACTCTTTTTTGGGTAAACCAGACATCAGCAGGAATAGGGTTAATTGAAATTAGCTCTGGTGGCTGAAAGTGTTTTTAAAACATTCATCATATTCATAGCATTTGTTTCCAAACAGTGTAAGGTTTGGGACATCAGCAAGGTTTGAAACTTTCGTTCTTCTTTCTTTTTGAGCTTAAAATTTCAGAAAACCAAAAATAGTCCTGGGCATTTTGGCCAGAAAATTGCTTGGATTTGTCCAGGAAAACTTGATAGGTTCCCAATAAAAGCTTATTATAAAAATTTCAGCTAAGTATGTGGCAAAAATGGGCAGTTCTAGTTTCTTTAATGACCTTCAGAGTCGTTGCTAACTCAACAGAGGCCTCTGTTGGTAGTAGACAAGATAAAGGTAAACTAAAGTCTGGCTTACTAAATCTGACTCATAAGCCAAAAATATTGCTGAAATTAAATAACATGCTGAACATGTAATTGTACGACAAATCACTGAGATATATTATTTCCTTTTTTGAGAAGTAAAGTTTGCTACAAATATAATAATAAATTGTATATAATTTTTAATTTGTGTAAGTAAAAACAATGTTGATGGCAAATATTTAATTTTTTCTTCTAATTTTACCAAAAATTTGAAAATATGAAAAAAGTTATTAAACTCCTGTATTCTGTTTTTTTTTAGCGCTGAATGTTTTCAATGTTGTTCGATTTCCCAATGATGTATGCAATACGACTTCTGGAAAGAGGTAAAAAAAAATATAAAAGTTTATCAAAATCTAATTGCCCTTTTCTTTAAAGTGGAACCTGCTATTCAGCCTCAGAGTGTTCTGCCTTTGGAGGCTCCAGTCTTGGAACCTGTGCTTCAGGGTTTGGGGTCTGCTGCGGATGTACGCTTGCGTTTTCACTCTTCTTTAAATATCTTTCAAAACAAAAACGTTATCTAATCATTTAAATTTATATTATCATTTTTATAAAGGTCCAATTTTATTATAGTTAATCGAGAATTTATTTTTGCTAAATATTGAAAGAAAAAGATCTCATTTACGTTTATGCCATAATTTATCAAAGAAGACAGAATGATCTAAAAAATATTTATGAAGAATTTAACAACAGTTTAAGCCTCGGTATCAATAAATACTTCACTTTGAAGTTATTAAAATACGTTTTAAAACTGAGAACTCTATCATGCATTCGAATAGAGTCTAATGAGTTTGGACTGTTTTCAATAATTAACTCTAAGTATTTAGTAACGGCTTCGTGCGGTGCAACAACCTCTGTCAACAATACATACTTTAAGGAATATAAATATAGTCTGTTTAATGTTTAGAAATGCTCAATAATTTATATGATTCTATGCAGTTAATTTTAAATGAATCCCTTAGGAGGTTTGATTAATAAAATAAAAGAATGAGTTAAAATTATTTAAACCGATTAGAATTATAGTTTCATTCATTCAATAACTGCCAGCTCTGGATTCTTTTATAACTGACTAATACTGTCCTAGAGTTCTACATCAGATACATCTCCTTGTCAAATATTTGTCTGCAAGATTACGAACAACATTTGTCAGATACGATTAGATTTTGATACATTTGACATAGACCAACCAGTGTCCCAGGTAATTAAAAAATCAGTTTCTAATCAAATACTTTCTTCTTAGTATGTACTTTCTGACTGTAGATTATAAAAATGGAATAGTTATATACATTTTTTTGTAATTTTTTACTGTAAGATATCGTATTTTGATTAATAAGAACTAGTAATTCCTATTCAAGCATGTGGTGGAGTTTAGAATTTAGATTAACTAATGAAAGAAATAATTTCATTGTTTATTCATGATTATTCATGCAGATTTAATCATAATATTTTTCATTCCAGCAGGTAAATTGTAAATGTAGAATGTAGATGTATCTATAAAAATAATCATGTTTTTAATTTAATCATGTAGATTTTAGAATGTATAGATCCATCAATATCCATCAAGAATATAGATTGAACTTGTAACAATAAAAAGAATATTTTTTTAATGAAGCACGCATTATATATGACGTCTCAATTTAAAAATAATGTTTTTTGTTTAAGGACGTAAGTTCAGCAACTACATCAAAAACGCAGTGCAACAGTGCCCAGTTTAGTGCTACAACAGATGGCGGAACTGCACCAGTTATCTGTGGGACTAATACTGGATATCATAGTAAGATATTTGTGGGACTAATACTGGATATCATAGTAAGATATTTGTGGGACTAATACTGGATATCATAGTAAGATATTTGTGGGACTAATACTGGATATCATAGTAAGATATTTGTGGGACTAATACTGGATATCATAGTAAGACTATTCAACCTAGCATAAAGGCCTGTATTATTAAGAACTGAAAACAAGTTTTTAAAGATTATATCACAGTTTGTATATCGGGTGGCTTCCTGTGTAGTGTGTAATTGTTTCTATATAAGGCATTATAAAAAATATATGAATATTATAACGCGATAAAAGAATTTTGCCAAACACTTCTAACAAATGAAAGCTTATTAAAAACGCTCTGCAGCTTTCTAAGGCTATTAAAGTTCAAACCAAGAAAAATATTTCTAGCGATACTTTAAAGTCGGTCTCAATAGTGGATGAATATTTTCATGTCTAAGTAGATCGTTATGAGGGGTAATCATATTTCTTGGAGATTTTGATGATTTTACTAATTTTAACCCTATTCCTGCTGGGGGGGGGGTCAATTTGACCCCCCCCCCTGTAGTTTTTTTTACATAACTCAAAAAGTATTGGTCTGAGGCTGTTGAAATTTTCTGACTTTTCTTACATACCCAAAGCCCTCCCTTTAGGCCTAAAACCGGGCTTTAATACTAACTGCCTGAGTCCTTAGGCACACTGCCTGAATGACTGCTTTTGCCTGTAACAAACTAAATCTTTGTTTTGACCCACTTTCACTTGTCAGATTTTGATAAAATTTAGCTTTTTGGAAAGCCAATGACATAAGAAAACGGATTGCACAAGTTTTGCGAAAAAAATTACAAATTTTTTGCAAACAACCTGTCAAAGGAAATTTGCACATTTTTAGTTTTTCTTGATTAAAAATCAGGTTATTTAAAATTTTGCAAACATTTTTGCATATTTGAAATGGCATGGTCAAGGGCTTTTCAAAAATGTATAATTTTTCATTTCTTGGACAAATTTTTTTTTGCAAACATTTTTACTTTATAACTGGATTTTGCGATAACAAATTCAATTTTTGCAAATTTGCAAGTTTTTTTGCAGATTCTAAAAGTAGAGCACAAGAGCTTTCTAATGATGTATCATTTGTCATATTTAGACATAAAACATGGGATTTGACCCCCCCCCCCAGCATATCCTGGTTTTCAAGTACCCCAGCAGGGATAGGGTTAATGTTTTTGAATAAAAGGTCAGAAATGTGGACTTAAACGCAAAATACTTTTTAATTATTTAAAATGTCACTTTTAAATGGGTTTGCTTGGGTTAAGTAAGTATTAAATTGTTTGGTTTTAATTTCGCAGTACTTCAATGAACACAGTAAACCGCTTTAGTTTATCCGTCTTTTCGAAACTTTGACAAGTCTTATGTTTTTAATTAGAAAGTCAAAAAAATATATTTTAAAAAAAACGTCGGATATTCTGGACTGAAAAAGACTAGGTTGTAAAGTGTACTCCTGAGTAGCTAGTAGATTACTACATACCATATTCTAGTGATACTGGAAGCAAAAGATGCGTGTAATTCTTTAACATTCTCCTGGACCTCAACATCCTCTAAACGCTCTTGGGATATGAAAGTAATCTACTGATTTATAATAGATATATATTGTCTGTTTATTTGTATCCAAAACCATCCAAACGTTTGGACCAATAAAATGTGTGGTATCTAACATAGAAAGACGACGACTCAAGTAATGCCTTTAAATTTAAATTTTGCTTAATTATTGATTTGATAAGTGTTTAGTAAAACTATTTGCTTTGTAACATGTAACATCTAAAACGTGGTATGAAGTCGTCTTCCTATTTCAGAGTTTTCTGTTTATCACTATTGGCAAATTTTCGGACTGTCCATAAACAATCCTTGGGGTCATGTTAGATACCACACATTTTATTGGTCCAAACGTTCAGTGTAGGAAAATGGAAAACAATTTTATTTTTAGATCTCTCAAATTCCTTGCGACGTTTCTTGGAAGCCTCCAGCAGGTTGCCTACAGCATTTCACTGGAACAACAGGTAAAAAATAATCTCTATATGCAGGCACATAAAAGATGTGCGTTTTAGTTTCAACACATTTTTGTGCAAGCAAATCATTGTCCTGTTTCATGTAGATTTTGTGTGGGTATAATGACTGGGCATTTGTTTGCATTTATATCTAAAACTACATCATTTATGTTGATGGGGGAACCACGGAGAACTTAAGAGACTTGAAAGAATTTATAAAATGTCGTTTTCTAAACCTACTGATAATGGAATGCTGCAGATAATTTTTAAATTGAATAATTAAACGGAGCCCTTTAAAACTGTCTAATGGCTATTTTTTCTTTAGTAAAGGAATTGAGTCTTTGCCACAAACTCTGATTTTCTAAACTCTATATCTTT